TATCCTTCGGAAATAGCGAGTGTGAAGCCCGGAACAATACCCGGGTAGCACCACACCACAGCTTTGTTTCCGCGTGCTCTCAAGTGAAGAAAGTGTTCATTCTCCACACACATAGCAACGGTCATCCTCGGAAGTGAGTGTCAGTTTGTCTTTGAGTCAGGATTTGATTGCCTTGGAGGAACCTGGTACCGATTGATCGACCCCGTAGAGGTAAAATGCCGTTAGCTTTAGCACGATTTTATCCGGAATTCGATTCGGGACAAGGAGGCGGAACTTGGTGATGCTCAGCTTTGCCCCATCATTCGATTACCGGACTGGGACCAACCTTTTGTAAGATTCTCTGTCGAGCGCTGAGGAAATGAATGTACGTCACATGTTCACCAGGAATCGTACCATCTAAACAGTAACTTGTTGGTAATTACTATAACTTTTCATGCATTTCTTCACTTAACTGATAACCGTAAATGTAGCGATAAACTGAAATCTATTGATAAACACTAAAATTCTGTCTCTGAGCAGTTTTCAATGTAAAGCTTGAAAAAAAACTAATGAGTTACTAAATTTCCAAAAAATTCTCGAAAATCCAAAATTCTCGAAGCCTAAAATTCAAGCTCTCAGAAATTCCGAGGTTTTCATCCCCTAGAATTCCGAGGTTCATCATAGACTAGTATAACACATTGCGAGTTCAGAAATGAAGCCAAGAAGTTTAAAATTTCTACGATTTGTGACCAACCATCATTGTAAGCTGGTTTACGATGGCGACGCGGTGCATTTCCCTGTACAGTCACACGGTGCACGTCTCCATCCGACTCGGCGCCTTTCAGGAATCCTTCGGAGCAGCGAGGGGAGTTTAGAATGGACTCTGCATCCGAGACTATAATTATTTACAACCTATAGATCAAAGAAAAGCAGTCCAATAGCCATATGAATCACCCAAAGTGGGCGGCTTGTTGATGATCAAGGCAGCCGCTGCTGAGCTTTGCAGGTGACCGCCACTGGAAAAGCGTCTTCGAGACGACAAATTTGCATCGGATTCGTCATCACTGAAACATTTCCATTGGTAAACAGTGAAAAGAGAAAGGGGGAGGGGGAGATTTTTTCCTAAGGACTGCCAAGAAACTCCAATTCTTAAACACCTAAATACTCCAATTCTAAACACTTATAAACTGGCTTGCGACTTTCTCCAACTAATTCAATAGCTTGCTTCCAGATCGCTCACCGGGTAAGATTCCCTTCACCCTGATAATTCCTGACAACTGAGCTTCCCAAATGATTCAGAGTGAGTATGGCAATGAAGGTCCATCCGTAACTATAAACGCGCTTTGCGGCTTACAGCGGGCTGGGAAGGTTCGATGTGAAACCACTATAATGGCCCCCCCAACCTGAACTGGTGTCGCATTCAATACATGGTTACTTTAGTGGATAAACGACATGGATCTAAATGGATGGAGAAGAGAGAAGCAGTAATGAGAATTGCTCGACGTACTTGATCCGAGTAGGTATTTGCTCTAAATCTTTCACACTCTCCACTGGCGGTACTTCCTTTTTCTTCTCGAAGTTCTTGAATTCTCCTACTTCACTCTGCCGAGAATCCTCGCGATGGCGTTCTTCCTCCAGCGGCGATGCTGCAATGAAATTTTTGCGAAAGGATTAAAACAAGTAGCCAGCTTGGCGCTGTTAGGCGACGGGAGGGGGCATTTTGCACTTTCGTTGCTTCACTAGTTCGGTTTACAAGTCTCACTCTGGTGAAACCTGTGAACTCTTGTGAAGCTGGAGCAAGCTCGTCAAGCCATCATGGTAAAACCTGTCAACTCGAGAAGAGGCTGTCTAGATGGGTCGACACGTCGATGGGAAGTATCACCGTCGCCGAAGTGTGCCGCCAACTCTTATGAAAAAAGCAGATGTTTGCACCATGGCGGTGCAGATGCTGGCATGTAAAAACACTTGCATAGTTACCAGGCATTAAATTCTTCCGCTAGGAAAAGGAAAAAGGAAAATGAATATAAGGGCAAATTTTATGCTAGTCGGGTGGGCGGGGCGGATCCACCACTGCGCGCTGTCTTCGAGGCGTCACGATGGCGTCTCAAAAGAAAGGATGCACCAATGAGGGAAGCACAACGGCAAGGCCAGCTCAGCCCATATGTCGAGCGTGAGATGTACCTTCCAATCAACGCTTAGTCCAAATCTGTTGCATACATGCTGCCCTGGGTAGCATTTATATGTCTGATAGGGCGGTTGAGATCTCAATCAATAGCCTACTAAAGGGCTACTAGTCGTTACAATAGTGATGGTGAAACTTAATCAATAAGTAACATTAGCTCTACTGACTTTGTTCCGTTGCCACAGCTATCAAGTAGAACACCAGTTGTAGCTCCTCTCGTTCATGACGACGATCGCGTAACACAACTCGGAAGAGCTCCTTTGACTAAAAATTTGTGAATTGAAGTTGCTAAGGATTCAAAAGACGTCATATCATTGGAACTAACTCCATCAGTAGAGGCGGTTGACTCGCTCGACACAAGCATGAAGTCGTCGCGACGTTGTTCCGTAGAGCGCTCTTCGCTGTTCTGAACATAATTATTGTACGATTAAAGGAAAACTGCGAATAACAACAGGATTACTCTTACGAAGCGCTCAAGATCTATAAGATTTCAAAATTCGAGAGAGCACATCATCAATACAATGATCTCGAAGGCTCAAAATGCGTCCATACTTTGCGTCAGCGTTTTGAGCAACCAGGAAAACATAGATGTCGATCAAGCGTCTTGAGCTCGATACCCGAACTTTCTTAGACGCTGAAAACCTGGTGCCTGCTCACTATGCCGGCGCACTCTTATGGAAATAGTTTCCGGCATTCTCGAAACAGATGCCGTTTCCAAGACTCTATGAAGCGTGCGTGTTGGGGTTTCGGTCGGGAGATTCAAGTTTCTACGTTACAAGTGGCGTCAAGTGTACGGCCTTACCAGGACCAAACCGATTAAAAGTGGTAGTGCTATATGCAGAATGTCGATCCAACTAGCTAAAGCGTTCTAGATGCGAGTAGCCGCAATGCGGATCCCTCAAAGGCAGTGGACACGATTGCTGAGGGAGTTGTCGCCGTCGCCGAAGGGCTGAGGGGGGAGTGGTCGAACGCCCCCTCGCAGCCCTTCCACCAACGACGTTGGCAATAACCGCCCGCCTCCAGCAATCGTGCCCACTGTCTTCATTTACACCCCACATGTAGTAACCAAAAGAAGCCAATGGGTGTGACCAGGATCACGAGTACGTCGCAGAATCCGCGACAGAGGGTCGTAGGCCTCCTCGGGAGAATGGTGGGGTCCTATTTACAGAAGTTAGCACTGAATACAGACGTAGCTTGCAGGATGGGTGATGCGTTCGGGAAGGAAGTCAAGTACATGGCGCATTCCAAAGAGATCAGCGCCTCGGTGCTGCAGTTCCTATTCATTCTATGAGAAGGAGAAAAACGGGAGGCCTACCGAGTTTTTTTAAATGGGAATAAGGGATTTGTAGGAGGGAGATCCTTATGCTAAAGCTGAAAACGACTTTTAATTGGAAATCCGCTACGGGCAAATTTTCGCTGTTATCGAACTACAGCTAAATTATTTTGCTCATTGGGAAGGGATAACCATCTACTTCCCAGCACCATGTAGATCTCCTTTC